ATTGTTGTTGATAATAAAGGATTTATCCATCTAAAAGTTGGATGTCAGAATAATTTTTAAGCTATATAAATTATCTCTAATGACCAAACTGAATCAACACGCCTGCGTGCTTTCGCAATAATGTCTCCGGTCATTCATCTAACTAGACTAACCACTGATCATCAAGATCAAGTTGACTCATGTTAAGATTACCGAAAATGACCTTTGTTTGCTCCATATTTTACGTAGATACCGTAGACATCGACGTTAATAGATGTCGCTTCTGCATATTTTGCGTGCAAATTTTCGGACCTGTTAAAGAAGTAATGTATCAAATAAGAAAAGTAACCGAAAATAGATGAAAAAGAAAGATTATCAAGTGACGATTCCGTGCAAGGTATATAAAGGTAGTATCGAGCGATGCTTCTAAGATGAAATGAAGACCTCAAAATTGTTACAAAAAATTAATATATGCTCTTGGCGCGGAATAGTAGTTTCTGGCGAAATACGAGTATAAGAGAGACGTATGTTCAGCAGTGAACGATAAATGCGACGATAATGCGCAACGATACGATGCGATGCATTATTTTCAAATTAATTTTAATAATTAAAGATTGCATCCCATAAAAAAAAACCTTAAATTGTGTAGAAACTAGTTACTTTGATATGTTGGTTACCAGAAGGAGACTTTGTACAAAAGTCGTTTGCTTGGGCACCCCTGTCCCATTCGTGTTTCTACCGTGAAGCAGTTGTGTTTGCATGACTGTTTTTAGTTCGAAGGAACGAAATACAGAGGAATGACACCTGAGTCCTCGGGAATGGAAACGCATCCGGGGTATTATGGACGAAACAGTATACTCCGTTATGTTCATGATACTGCTCATGTCTATAGGCAACGGTTACCACTTTCCATCAGGTAGGACGTCAGCTTGTTTGCCATTCTAAGTTGCATAAAATATATATATATATATATATATATATATATATATATATATATATATATATATATATATATATATATATATATATATATATATATATATATACAAATGAACAGATTTAGATAAAATTTCTGTGGGATTTATCTCTAAAAAATAAGAATTTCCCAACATATAAGGAACATATAAGGAATACAACATATAAAAACATATAAGGAAATACAACCGAATTAGAAACTCCCTTTTTCTCGTAGAAAATAAATGATAATTAATAAGAATAATTTTTATTTAAGTACTTGCGTCGTCTATTTCCATGTACTCGTATGTCTGCGACACTAGCCACGTCCATTTATTATAATTTGCTGCTCCGAAATTCGATATCGTGAAGAAGATCGATCGATGCTATCTGAATCGATTCAAATTATCAAATCCCGTGTCTATGTGGAGCAGATAAATCTATCGGAAACATTTATGACCCCATAGCTTTCTCTGCTTTCGCTTGTCAGACACTATCTAAGCTAATTATTGGAACACTTTATTGATACTATTTGGTGTGATTAACCCTTACTAATATGCATGTGAAAGTTACTAATAAATACTAATTACTAATATTATAGTTTAATTAGAAATTGATGTTTAAATGTTATCTCATCACGAGAAAATGGATGACTATAGCCGTGTATTCTTTATAAATGACTTAATTCAATAAAACCGGTTATTATGATTTTAAAACTAAAGTACTAAACCGATTTTGATAAAATTTCTATGTGACCAATTTGTGAGTATGACCTTTCAGATAAGAAATGAATTTTTTAAATCGGTTTAAAACTGATTGAATTATGAAAGAAAAAGAAGTCGGTTGAAAAATACAATCGAATTGAACCTTTTTTCTTTTTGAAGTTGGTGCAAAATAAAGAAAACCTACAATGTTTACAAAATATTAAAAAAATATTGAACATAAATTTGTTATTATTGAATAATGACTATTGTGAGTCATACTGTATTGTACTTAATTATTTACAACCGACTTTAAAAAGAAGGAGATTATCAATTCGGTTGTATTTTTTTTATTTGTTACCTTATGACTCCGTCAGTTATAAATCTATCAGAAAATATATATATTTTTTTTTATTTGAAAGGATATACATACCAGAGTGGTCCCAAAGAAATTTTATCTTATAATTGCTCTAGTGGTATAGTTTTGAAAACAAAATAAATATTTTCCTCACAATTGAAGTTAGTTTTCTTTGTGGATCACAATTTAAAATTTTTATTTTATTTTAAATTCTTCATTTTTATTTTCACTTATCATAATAATTTCGACTACTTATAGTACCTACATGATGTAAAAGTGGATTTCATATTAAACAACAGTTTTGCTTCTCTCTTCTAGCCAAGGGAAGAAAAAAGTTAAATGAGCTAATAGGATTATGTAAATTAATTTGAAATTACGCAGTATGAACAGAAACATTAACGAATTCAAAGGAGAGCAATCCCCTTTGACTTATTACAAAAGTTTAAAATTATTGCAATAACTGTGAGAGAGATATTGTTCAATCGAATGTCACAATTACGAGTAACATCCGATTTACCGGTTTTTATTCTAACAATGGACGCGTGAAATGTCTAATAAGTGCGGTTAATCGGGTGTCACGTGGTGTCGCTTGATGCTGATTTAACAGTCGAGTAACCTCATTATAACAGCTTCATTGCTAGCGATATGCCCTATCAGGTCGACTTCCACGTGGCGCCTCTTGGAAACCATAATGCTTAATTCGTAATTGATTCGTCACGGCAGCCAACTGACTTCATCTTCATGTATCATAACTTACTGGTTCGCTGCTAGTGTTACTGACAACGCAGATGGGATTACAATTTCATTATTATCTTATGAAAAAAAAAACCACGTTATATCGCAGTAGAGTCACTTTAAATGTCTACGAGTTAATACAGTTCTATAAGGTCATGTCTAGAGAATGATTTTTGAGAAAATTGTATCAATTATTGTCCGACTCTGTGGGGCCATTCACATTTATATACATAAAATTTTATATTTATATTTCCCCGAAATTATTATTGTATATACCATCATGAACTAAATAAATGCGAATATTTATTTAATTTGATATATAATCATATTATTTATGTTGATATAATAAATAAAAATTAATAAGAACGCCTGAATGTTTCAAATAGCAAAAACTTAGATAGACTTTTTTTGCCATATTATAGAAATAAGTAATGTCTTGTGTTAAACATTATTTATTAACATTAGTTAAATTAAACAATTTTGATATGAACCAAATGTTATAAGTGGATTTAAATTATAAATTATTTTTTTCTACTGATAGTGTTGTCGATCAGTTACCTAAAGTATCACTTTTGCTATTCTATTTCAACAGGCGTTGTAATAAGGTATATATTGTGTAATTAATTCATTGATTAAAATTGATAGATATATCTATACTATTTAATAATTACAACTGTTACTATTGTTGCGATGAAGAGATCCTTTTAACGATAAATTCGCTCATTAGTTAATTCTCGTCATCTTTAATTTTTGTTATTTTTTTGTTTTCTTAAGCTCCATTAAAAAAATTGTAACATGTTATCTACATACTATATTTTTTTACTGTAACAGTAAAGAGTATCTGCTTAACTGTTAGTTACCAGTCTTAGTTGCTTTTGAGGATATTCTGGGGATAAGAAACAGTGGTGACGTCTGGCACCAACAATTTTATTCAAGACGATTTATATTACTTATATATTTGTGTTTAATATATTATAAGTAATTTAAACATAATTTGTAGCTTATTTTAAAAGCTCAATCAAATTCTTATTTATTTTTATCAGGACCGATGAAAAGTTGTAGCAATCTATAATCGAGGTAGCTACACACTCAACAAAGGCCCGCTAGATGTCAGCCTCGGGCTCGGGCGGTCACTACGAACTATTGTCTACTTGGTAATGGACCTGTTGTCATTGAAAGTGATACAACATATTGTAACAGTTTAATGTGTCGTGACATGTCTCTATATTTAAATATGTAGGTCACAAAATTAATTATGGTCATTTCAACGAAATTTATTTCGTAAATTCTATTTAAACAAACTAGTGATCTACTCATACGATTATTTATTTTATTTTACTATACCAGCCGTTAACTGTTCACTCCTGAACATAGTTTCCCCCATAAGGGGGGGAGGGAGTTGCCAGTAGTTGGCAGGCGTGTTTGCACCCGCAGTTTGACTTTTGTTGATATTTTAAGAGGGACGCTGCTGCCCAAATTTCAACTATAAGCTCTCTTAGTCGACTCATACGACATCCACGGGAAACATAGGAATAGCCTATTCTATGCCGGGACCACACGGAATTTAATAATCATAAATAGTAAAATTTTCCATACTATGTCTGTACCTATTCACTATTCTATAGTTGACATTTAGCACCATTATGCAGTTATTTTTCTTTGTTGCATTCAACTTCAATGAGTATTGCATTTTTTAAATCTTAACCATAAGAATTCTGTTCTATTGTTACCACTTAAAACATAAGTATCTATTTGTAAATTTTCCTTTTAAATTAGTTTAATAAATGTACCTGGTAGTATAATAAATGAGGAACTAAAAAAATAATCAATACAATGATGATATGGATTTGTTATAATTAAATTAATTCGAGTTATATTTAAAAATCTATTTTATTCCACGTGAAAATTTAATCAAGGACTATGCAAATACCTACCTATGTATAGGTAATAAAATAAGACGCGATGATTATCAATGATTATCGTCATCATCAACATATCAGCTTTTAACTGTCCACTGTTAAACATAAGCCTTCTACTTGGGGACTTTTGTCAATAGTTGTCACGCTTGGCGAGCGGATTGGTAACCGCAGTTAGGCTATGCAGATGTTTTAAGAGGGACGCTGCTGCCCATCCCTCGCCCTTCCTAAGTTGCCTATTACGATACCCTCAGGAAAGAAAGGGGTGGTCTATTCTATGCTGGGACCAGATGGCAAAGTCATCATTAATTCATTTTAATAAATATTTCATATTAAAATTATTTTTATTTGTTACAGGGCAAAGAGAAAACAAACCGCGAAGATTTAAAAACCGACATACAGCACAGAAAAGAAACCTTCTACAGGGTTAGTAACAAATACATATTATAATTTAAATAAATAAATAATTGTAAACATAATTAGTGTTCCACAAAAAACTTACCTAATTTTGATTAACAATTTTATATGATGAACCTGTAAGTACATCGTTTCAGATAATTTTCGAAATCAGTTTACAGCTTATGTAATTTACCTCCTTCTTTTTGAAGTCACTTGTTGACAACAACTTTTATATAACAAATAAATTTTTAAATTTACATCAGTTGTCAATTTACTTCTTTAATTTTTAATAGTAAAAGGAAATATTATCAAAAAATAATTTTTTTTTCCAAATGTATATTTTTTTGTGTGACTATACAATTGTAATCTAAACTTATACTAATATTATAAAGATAAAAGATTTACTTTTTATATGTTTGTTTGTAATGGATAAACTCAGAAACTACCCAACTGACTTTAAAATTTTTTTTAAAGTCAGCTGGGTCAGCTGCAGCTACATTAAAGCTACATTTAAAAAAAAATATTAGAGATTTCTACGGAAATTACAATAATGTAACCCAACGTATCAAGAATTTGCATATTAAAGTTAATATAAAAATAATAATTTATCTTCCTATCTATCTACCCGTGCAAAACCGCGGTGGATAGTTGTATTATGATCAGTTAACCTGTTAAGTTGTCCACTGCTGAACAGAGGGAGACTTTGTACAAAAGTCGATTGCTTGGGTACCTCTGTCCCATTCGTGTTTCAATCGTGAAGCAGTTGTGTTTGCATGGTTGTGTTTCAGTTTGAAGGGTGGGATATGGCGTGAATTTACTGGGTGAATTTACAGAGGAATAACACCTGAGTCCTCAGGAATGGCAACGCATGGGGGTATCATGGGCGAAACAGTATACTCTGTTATGTCCATGGTACCGCTCATGTCTATAGGCGACGGTTACCACTTTCTATTAGGTGGGCCGTCAGCTTGTTTGCCATTCTAAGTAGTATAAAAAAAACAGCTATTTTCCATAGATTGTCTGGAGACACTATCCCAATCTAATTTTGAATATAAAATTAAACAATTTGACCCCTAGGTTGTCGTAAGATTCGATTTAGGCAATATAATACAATACATAAGGCCAAGAGAAAAGGAATTTAAAATAACTCTATACCAAGCCACTTGGGTAGCATGGTAATAGTATGCGATATTTTTTTATGTAAGAAGCCTATTCTCAGCAGTAGGACGTAATTTATTTATTTGAAAATTACTCACCACATTTACAGTCTCCCAAAACGTGTAGTGAGCCATAGATTTATTTTACAAACTTACAAATTTTGTACAACATTTTAAAAATATATCCATTTTGTCATTAAATATGTCAATATCTGGCTGCTGAGCAATCAGAGAATTGAGCAGAGAAATAGCTTGATAAGTAATGGGTAGTTGATAAGATAAACATCAAGTTATTCCTTTCAGGAGCCCCCTTCTGATGAGGATTCAGCAGTGTCCTCTGCGCCCGCCTCGTTGTCACCCCAACCGCTCAACGATATGTGGGTTAGTAATGTCTTATTCTACTAATATTTGGAAACTTTCCCTAAAGACTACAGCATGGGGTTCTTCAAAAAGAGCGTATTAAGGTTTTTTAAGGATCGGCAAAGCGCGTGTGATAACCCTGGTGTTATAGGCGTTCATAGGTTAACTATCAGACGGGCCTTATGTTTCTTTGCCATCATTGTACATAGTATGAATAAATATAATAAAATTGTAACTAGACCATGTGTGTACCTCTTAAAAAGGAACAGAAAAAGTTAAAAAGGAAAGTAACAGTTTTCTATTATCATCATATTTGTACCCTTATTCCAATTATACAAATTTTGGGGTTGACGTAATATGTTTTTATCCAAGGGTTTGGTTATAGTTTTACGCCTGGCTACTTGCCTGATGTCATCCCTCCAAAGAAATGTGAGACGAAACAAAAAAAAAAATAAGCCTACTACATTCTAACATAAGATATCCAAGTCCCAATTTTTTTTTTGGTTTTCGATTCTTTCATTCATGTTTCTTTCAGAAAAATATTTGAGGAACATTTTGATTTCACTCTGTATAATATTTTCTACAATAAAATTCTAAATCGATTTTGATAATTACTTTTACAATCGATAAGATTTATTTGTATTCGGACAAAGACTCACGTTGCAACTACTATAAATCTTGAACTGTAATAAATAGAACAGCGCGACATTACTACCAACATAACAATGAAGTATATTCACGTGATAATTTAAACAAGATAAACGTTATGATTTTTATGAACAACCATACCATAATATTCTACGACAAAAAAATAAACCCACATTCATTAAAGCGTGGTAAACAAGCGATCCTTTCCTTTTACAGATTGCCTGCCCACACGTTGTAGGTGCTTAGGTATTTACCATTTAAACATCTATATACATATACCAATTTATATATTTACATAGCCTCCACACTAGGTAAATATGTGAGGAGTAATCGACCTTGCATTTTAGAAGTCTGGGATACCAGACTTCTAAAATGTCACAGCGAGTGCAGCATACCTAGTAAATACTATACTTAGATATTTATCGGTGTACGGAGATTACATCATATGCATTGTGCTCCATTGCACGTCTACGGGCAATTATATATATAGATTTACTTTGTGGACGTTCTAAAATAATTTCATATTTGGTAAAAATATGATTTAACGAGTTTGTGTCTTCTTATTACGACATGCATCACGTCTATCAAAAAGAAAAAAAAAATATATAGAATGAAGTCTATGCAACGTAATGAATTTGAAAAATGTACATTATAAAGTAGCTAAATCTTATATAATACCTATTGATATTGATTTTGAAGGCAGTATTTCAGAGATATAATTATTATAAGTAGTTTACAACGCTACATATATTTATTTATCGTGTTTACATTTTTAGGTGGTTACATAGATTCATTTTCCAATTTCGCCAATATAAGTATAATGTCGACTCCTAAATGAAATAGTGATAATTTACTCGGATTTATATTTTTAACTTTTTTACTACATAAATAATGAATAAGATCAAATATCTTTTAATATTATAATATGGAATATTTTTATTACGATGAAGAAAATACTGGCCATTAAAATATGATTTTACTTTTTGTTATAAGAAAATGGCGGGAAATTTTTTCTGTACCTGTTTTGCTCAGTCGTACTTGCTTCGGTAGTAGGTACATATACTAACTTACTTGTTCGATTTAATATTACATTTTATTATTGTCAGTAAGTCTAGGTACTTAATATTTACCTATTTGGTACGACCAATTATAATAAAATATATATTAAGCGCAAGCATCAACTAAGTAAGCCACACTAATTCGTTTATAAACCAAATCAGCTCACAATCACCGTTAACAGTTATCGGTATTATAAATCTTATCCATTGATACCTACATAGATTCATGGGAAACGCCAACAACTACTTACCTTAGCTATAAAACTAGTCCATAGTCCTACGTCGTAGTATAACACAATCACTGTAACACCTCAATCGCTCGTTCACAGTCATGCGGGCAGTGCCGCGCGACAGCTGAGCGCGCGTCGGCGGCAGCACGCGAATGCACGCGCCTCGCTGACGAGTTGCGCGACGCGCGCGACCAGCTCGAGCTCATGGAGTTCAGGGTGTTGGAACTGGAGGATGCGCATCCTAACAAGGTGAGGTTACAGTGTACGCAGAGCCATCGCGTAGACCGGTCGTCGAATGTGTTGTGTTGTTGTGTGCGATGTAGACACGAGTTACCAAGGTTACGGATATGGGTGACATAGTGCAGGGGCTAGACGAGAACCTTATAAAGGTGAAGGTATAGTGAATGTACTTCAAGAGTCACGAGTGTTTTTTTTTTAATTTGACTTCGTCTTTTGAGGGTTTTTTTTTATTATAATAATTGATTTTGAGTGATTGGTAACGTTATGTGATTGCATGGTAAACTCAATGTGTCAAAATTGTTTTTTTGGCATCGAATAAATGTGACATGAATCGTACTTATTTGTTATTGTAATGGTAATATTATTCTATTCATAATTTTCTTCTGAATTGTGGAATGAAACATTATTTATATTATGAAGGCCATGAAGCTATTTGCGTGGTTAAATACATAAAAAAAAAAAATTGATTATTTTTATGAATGTAAAAAAAAAATGAGGAATAATATCCTTGAAATTATTTTTAAGTGTTAATGTTGTTTTTGTGTTCAAGTAAATTTACTACATTTGTCTGAACACAAATATATTATAACGTAAAAGAGATACGTCACAGTATTGTACTCCTATGATGCGATGGTATTAGTGCGGTCGTGACTACATTAATTGTTATTTCCTGCAGTAGTATATGGAAAAGTCATGGAAAGTCCACTATGTATGATAGTTAAGGTGTTAATACCTATATTGATATTAATAATAATAGTAATAAAGCAGTTAATTCCTTAACAAACAATTTTATACTAAACATACTACAGCATTTTTAAACGACTTCGAAAAAAATTCGATTGTATATTTTTATGTTTTTTTTTCTTTCATGACTCCTTCAGTTATAAACCGATTTGAAAATTGATTCTTATGTTTATCTAAATTCTGGTACTTACAAATTAGTTTCATAGGGATTTTATCAATTTAGTTGTTTAATTTAAAAGCGAAATGTACTGGTTTTGCTACAATTGAAATCCGATTTGATGGATGAAATACCTTTTTACTCCAAAAGGGATCATATACCAGAGGGAGACTTTGTACAAAAGTCGATTGCTTGGGTACCTCTGTCCCATTCGTGTTTCAACCGTGAAGCAGTTGTGTTTGCATGGCTGTGTTTCGGTTTGAAGGGTGGGATATGGCGTGAATTTACTGGATACAGAGGAATAATATCTGAGTTCTCAGGAATGGCAATGCATGGGAGGTATCATGGGCGAAACAGAATACTCTGTTATTATGTGATGTCCAGTATACTCCATGGTACTGCTCATGTCTATAGGCGACGGTTACCACTTTCCATCAGGTGGGCCGTCCGCTTGTTTGCCATTCTAAATTGTATAAAAAAAATATTTAATCTTAAAATAAGATAGCTCATTCCACTTCTTATAAATCAACTTTCAAAATGTGTTTCCGGTTTTTTTTCTTTATTTATTTAGGTATCTTTGTATATAACAATGGAAGATTGTATATTTTGTACGTAATTCCATAGTGACATCACTGCAATATGTTACATGCAATTGTACTCATATTGCATGCCAATTATGCGTCGAGTATAAATAATGAAAAATTATGTATTCATAACGCATAACCCTATTTATTCAGTTCAGTGTTAGACTTCATAACAGTTCGTTTCACAATAAAAAATTATTTTGTACCTAAATTCATATAAATTAGAATTTAAAATACAAACCAAGTCACGGTCGTTCAACAATACGAAAATGGTATTCGATGATTGAAAAGGTAACGTAACACCTTCGCAAATTTCGGATATTCATCTGGGTGTCTATTTATTGTTATTTTATTAATGTAACTAATCGAAATTTTTTTTAATGGGTGATAATGGAATGGTAACCCCACCCGTGCTATAGGTATACACCGGTGGGGCACCAGTAAAGGATGATAGGTGAGGATGAAGCAGGTCAGTTAGCCCATCGTGACGAATTCAACAAGAAATGTTCACGATGGTTTCCAGGGGAAACCACGTGGAGGTCGAGTTAATAAGGCATATTGCTAGCAATGGGGCTGTCCCTTTCCCTCTTCCAATCGAATATTAAGAAATAAATAAGTTTTTTTTTCCTGAGAATTTGTATGGAATCGAATCGAAAAAGATTTTTTTTATTATAATTTATTATATAGGTCGTTACAATAAATACAATGCTTTCTTGTAATATATGTACACACTCTTAAATCTTATCATTAATGGAATTCGTTATCGACTATGATAACATTCTAAATATATTTTTTAATAATCAAGCACAATCTATATGGGATAGATAAAATATGATATACATACATATATTTGGTATATTTTATTTGTAAATTAACAGTTTCCCATGGATGCAAATTATACATACAAACTCTATGTATGTAAAAAATAATTAAATGACAGTCAAACAAATACGTAATGTAATCGTTTAGAAGATGTAAGCGGAGAAACAGACAGACGCGGTCTGCGATTTGTTTTATATTATTTATTTAAAGATACATTAAAATTTTAAATACATATAGAAATAGTACATTTTTTTACTGCCAAAATCGGTATTTTAGTTCCTAAACATATAATGTCAATTATGTGGACCTTAATTGCCTGTTACGATAGTGTAATCCTGTATTAGGAGTAACCGGGTAACGAATACCTGGGAGCAACATCCAGAAAATCCACGTCGTAATTAATCTAGAAAGTTCGTTTTCTGGGTTTATATCTATTTTTTTTTAGTGGATGATAATGGAATGGTTACTCTGCCTGCGCTATCGGTATACACTGGCGGGGTACTAAAGAGGGATGATATATGATGATGAAGCAAGTCAATTGGTCCATCATGATGAATTCAACAACAAATCAATCATGATGCTTTCCAGGGGGCAACCGCATGGAGGTCGACTCAATAGAATATATTGCTAGCAAGGGATTGCTAATCTGCATTACTAACAATTCTGTCTTCCTTCTTTACATTTATATTAAGTTCTATTAAGATTTTTTTTTATACAACTTAGAATGGCAAACAAGCTGACGGCCAACCTAATGGAAAGTGGTAACCGTCGCCTATAGACATGAGCCATGAGACAGAGTACCATGGACATAATAGAGTATACTGTTTCGCCCATGATACCTCCTATGCGTTGCCATTCCTGAGGACTTAGATGTTATTCCTCTGTACCCAGTAAATTCACGCCATATCCCACCCTTCAAATCGAAACACAGCCATGCAAACACAACTGCTTCACGGTTGAAACACGAATGGAACACAGAGGCACCCAAGCAATCGACTTTTGTACAAAGTCTCCCTCTGGTCTGAATTGAACCTGGGATTACATCTATGCAAAGCGAAGTGCTCATCACTGTATTAAATTTCTTTAAAGTCACTAGAAGGATAGACACAAAGATCGATTAAGTATATTGCATGCAACAGCTAAGTTGCGTTCATTCTTAGACTCTTTCGAAACAATATACGTATAGTAACTGGGTTTAATAGGTACAATATACTCCTAGTTGAGCGACTATCACCGCTCCGCTGTCACTCTTAAGGTGAAGGACAACAATTTTATTGTTCTTTAATAATATGCTGAGATGATATGATCAAGTGATAGGAACTATGTATGTGCGTGTTTCATGAGTTAGATTCCTCGGGTCTATCAGTTTCATCGGTCGGGTAGATCCGACGTCTCGGGTCAATTTCATTCTAAGTCGAATTGTCGATATTCTAAATTAATCGGTCAGGTCAATTTAGGATATCGACAATAGATCGACTTAGATGCTAGAGACCTGGCCGTGAATTTATATTATATATACGAAATGTTTTTATTTTTACATTAGGAAGAAAGAATATATATATATATATATATATATATGTATATATATGTTTGCTGTCGTCGTTTGTGATGTCACGTATAGGCACCACAGAATATCAGCGCTGTAGCAATTAAATTGCTGCAGCACATACTGAGTGGTGATCACGTTGGCAATAATAAATGTAAAGTTTTTTTTTTAATTCATAATTTATGTAACTTTTTGTTGCTGTCAATAAATGTTTTCTTTCTTTCTTCTTTCATTTTTACATTAGTTATTGATACTTTATAATGACTGATAATGGAATGGTAACCCCGCTTGTGCTATCGGTATACACTGGCGGGGCACTAGTGAGGGATGATAGGTGAGGATGAAAGCAGGTCAGTTAAAAAAATTAACCAAGATGGTTTCCAGAGGGAACCGCGTGGAGGTCGGTCTGATAGTGTTATTAGCATTGGAGCTGTTGGATCTCCATTACTAACATTTCCTTCCCCACACTTATTTATATTTTTAGTAGTTTTTATCCTTACTAATATTATAAATGTGAAAGTGAATTTGTTTGTTTGTAGCCTTAACAGCATAATCAATTATTATAAAATTTGGTATACATGTATTTCTATATGGGAGGGAGAAAACTATAGGTTACTTTTAACCCGGTTCTTAAACATATTCCGGTTACGCGGACAAAGTTGGGTAAAAGCTAGTAAAAAAATAATAAAATAAGAACAAGATTCACATTCTGTTTTTTTTTTAATTAAAAGACAATTTTATTATAGTTTCTTACTAACTTTACTAACATCGAATTTAGTTTATTTATTTATCTACTTTTTATTGTGCCACGTAAAGAAAAATACAATATCAGCATTTTCCTACCCTTATTCCAATTATGTATTATTTGTGATTGGCGTAATATGGTTTTCTCTTCCATTCTTCTCTATTCGTAGTCACTTCCGCATTTACTCCCAATCTGGCCATATCATCTTTCACATAGTCGATCCCTGTCTTTATAGGTCTTTCTCTGTTCTTATAGCCATCCACGTTCATTCTTAATATTTTACATAGGACATGCTTCGCCTCACGTGTCCGTACCAGGACAGACGGTTACTTCTTAATTTTTCTATCAAGAAATATAACAACAAAGAATAATACAATAATAATTTAATATTGCCGTGTATGCCCCAGTATA